TGACCAGGACCCAGTATGCCTGATCTTGATAGTAGGAGTCACTCTGTAGAAGTGGATTAGCAGGGCCTGGTGTAGGGTAACCACACGCCCCGGGTGTTGAGCACCAGCGTTTGTGCAGCCACATACAAGGGCCCTGATGCAGCTTCTGCGGATCCCAGGTGCCAGATGACAATATGCAGACCTCCCAGGATCTGAATAGGGAGGCTCTGCAGCAGATATGTATGTATCCAGTACAGAAACAAGGTAAGACTAGAATAGACACCAAACATGAACACAAGACAAAACTAGGATAACCCAGAACCGGAGCAGGGCAGAAAGCAGAACCCAGAACATGTACACAATACATGAGGAAAGCAAGAACAGGGCAGGACAGGACTGTACATGAACTGGGAATACAAGACAAAATAAAACAAGACAAGAGATACAAGGTAAAACAAGAGGAGACATAACTTAGTATATATGTAAAACATTGGAGATTTAGACATACATAAATGGCCAAGATGTATGCAGCCCACCACTGCGCCAAAGTACTCCAATTAAGGTGGGTTCCTATCCTAGATATGCATGACTAAATAAACAATAATAAAACACACACAGCACTTACCTGCAAGAAAGGGGCAAAGGATTTGGAACAACTGCCTGCAGGAACCAACTGAAACAAAAGGATAAATGGAAAAGGAAATGGTGTGGCAACGTAAAACAAGCATAAAAAGGAATCCAGGAGCCTGGGAATTCCAGGAACGGAATAAAGGAATGAACCCAGAAAACCAAGCATAAAGAAAACCAGACATGGAATAGAAAACCAGAAAAAACAAGACAAACTAAACAAGAATTGTAAAAAGAGTACTGGATACCAGAAGCCAAGGCCAGAAATCTCTGCAGAACAGAGCAAGATGTGACAGATGTCTAGGGAAGTTCCTATGGATGAAAAAAAAATAAAACGTGGCTTTTTGGATTTAAATTGCGAAGAACAGCGTGAAGGACTTACACTGAGCACTTTAATAAAGACTTTTTTGGTCGAAACACGTTAGTGCTGTGCTGAGAGATGTTTTATTTTATATCAATTGTGTTAATAAATTCTTTTTGGTTACATTTTCTACTACATTCGTTTGTTACTTCAAACCAAGTGTGGGGAATCCAGCATCCAGAAGCGTGTGGGAATTCTACCTACTTGAATTCATCTGCACTTATCCAAAAGGCGCTGATAGTCTGAGTCCGCTGTAAAGTGGCTCAGCAATATGTGAGTAGGACCAATGTGTATTAATTTGTTTTTATATTAATTATACAGATTTCACTATGGTCTATCCTTTTGTTTATATTTTAGGTTTTATACTGAACTGATGGTAAAATAGCATGTGTGTGTGGGGTGGGAGTGGGAGGTGGATGGAGGGAAGCCCGTATTGGGAGCTTGAAGGTATGGAATGTAACATTGGAGTCAAAGGACCACAATCTATGTCTTAGAATTAGATACTTAGTGGACTATGTATGATGAAGGGAGGTCCTGCGTGTCTAGGTTTGGGACCAGTAACCTACTCATGAGAACTGGGTACAGCGATTACTTTACAGAGTAATTTGAACGGTGATGAGCCTGTTCCATCCCTGTTTGTCGAACAATGAGGCTTACATGAATTGACCATGAACATAACAAGCGTGTTCAGCATTAGGCACTGTAACGACAATGATTGGGTGAGAGTGGGAATGTGAAAAGGGGAAAGGAGAAAATATGACCTGCTGCCGGCTGAAGGGTAGAATTGATAAGTTTGTGAAGTTTAATTCAGCTGATATCGTGCTAGCATCTTTGGAGCTATTATTTCCCTATGGTATTGCTCGAGGGGAGACGTGCTATTAGGCATAAATATTCGATTCGGCTTTATCCCTAGTCCCTTGTGTAAGATCTCTAGGGGCTTATATGTTGCAGGTGTAATGAGAGACAGGGTTATGTGGTGGGATTCCCCCCTTTCAAGATTATAAAATAATTAAACAACAGCATATATATACAATATATATATATATATGGTCTTTGGGCATAAGGGATGCCTAGTGGTAGAGAGGTAAAAGCAAATGTCAAAGTAAAGACAGATTGATGAGAAGTGATATATGGGGTAGAGCCCCCCTGCCCCCCCCCCTTTTTTAAAAATATAGTTTGCGAGAGAAGATGGTCATTGCTGACAAGAGGAAGACAGGGGATCTAGAGAGGAAGGGACATAGGAGAGGAAAAGGAGAGAAGACGAAACAGGATTCAACAGGAGAAACATACCAGACTGAGTTCATTTTCTCTCACAGCTCGGGTAGCACTCGTATAAGCTTCTCCAGTAGAATGATGACCAGGTGCAGCAAGAGGGTATGGTGTCCATACATATCCATGTAACTGAGAATGAGTGAGTATGAATGGTCTGTTGCAATAATCTGCTTTCTCAATCCTTCTGCATCTTATGAGCATAATATGTGATCTGCGATAGTAGTGGAAATGTTCAACGGGTCGCCACTTTACCCCTTGGTGAATAAGAGGTAGATGCTGGGTCACCAGGGTCACTTTTCCTCTTCATTGGAACCTGTTGCCAGTGTTGTCATTGCGGAAGTTGGAAGGACGGCGGGGTGAGAACCAGTCTGGGATTTAGGCTGTTGGTAGATCCAGGGCTTGTAGAAAAGCAGGAAACTCTTTTACAGAATGGATGGAATGCAGCAATCCTCTGTGCATCACACTAAGGGCAAAGGGAAAGCCCCATCTATAGCGGAGGTTTCTGGCTCTTAGGTTGTCTGTGATAGGTTTACGTAGGGGAAAGTGATGGAAACCATGTTAAAGGATAGGATTGTTGAACATCTAAAATCACATGGATTTCAAGATCAGAGACAACATAGATTTACTTCAGGGAGATCATGCCAAACTAATCTTATTGATTTTTTTGATTGGGTAACTAAAATTATAGATCAGGGTGGTGCAGTAGACATTGCTTACCTAGATTTCAGTAAGGCTTTTGACACTGTTGCACATAGAAGGCTTATCAATAAACTGCAATCTTTAAGTTTGGATTCCAATATTGTTGAATGGGTAAGGCAGTGGCTGAGTGACAGGCAATAGAGGGTTGTGGTTAATGGAATATATTCAAAGCTTGGATTTGTCACCAGTGGGGTACCTAAGGGATCTGTACTTGGACCCATTCTCTTTAATATTTTTATGAGGGATATTGCAGAAGGTCTTGATGGTAAGGTATGTCTTTTTGCTGATGATACTAAGATATGTAACAGGGTTGATGTTCCAGGAGGGATAAGCCAAATGGCAAATGATTTAGGTAAACTAGAAAAATGGTCAGAATTGTAGCAACTGACATTTAATGTGGATAAGTGCAAGATAATGCATCTTGGATGTAAAAACCCAAGGGCAGAGTACAGAATATTTGATAGAGTCCTAACCTCAACAATTGAGGAAAGGGATTTAGGGGTGATTATTTCTGATGAATTAAAGGTAGGCAGACAATGTAATAGAGCAGCAGGAAATGCTAGCAGAATGCTTGGTTGTATAGGGAGAGGTATTAGCAGTAGAAAGAGGGAAGTGCTCATGCCATTGTACAGAACACTGGTGAGACCTCACTTGGAGTATTGTACACAGTACTGGAGAGCGTATCTTCAGAAGGATATTGACACCTTAGAGAGGGTTCAGAGAAGGGCTACTATACTGGTTCATGGATTGCGGGATAAAACTTACCAGGAAAATTAAAAGGATCTTAACATGTATAGCTTGGAGGAAAGGCGAGACAGGGGGGATATGATAGAAACATTTAAATATATAAAGGGAATCAACACAGTAAAGGAGGAGACTATATTTAAAAGAAGAAAAACTACCACAACAAGAGGACATAGTCTTAAATTAGAGGGACAAAGGTAGTGGATTTACTGAGAGGGTAGTGGATGCATGGAATAGCCTTCCAGCTGACGTGGTAGAGGTTAACACAGTAAAGGAGTTATGTGTGGGATAGGCATAAGGCTATCCTAACTATAAGATAAGGCTAGGGACTAATTAAAGTATTTAGAAAATTGGGCAGACCAGATTGGCCGAATGGTTCTTATCTGCCGTCACATTCTATGTTTCTATGTTTCTATGTTGAGAGGTTTGCCGGAGGGCCTTTAGAATTTCCTCCTTACACGTGTCATAGTGGAGGAGACAGACCACATCCCTCGGCTTATTGGTTGGGGCCCCTTTAGGTCTGAGGGCTCTGTGTGTCCTGTCCATCAGTATTGATGTGTCAGAGGGTCTCTCTAGAATCAGGTTGAACAGGTCTTGTAGCGTACCTGAGAGATTTATTTTGGCGTCCTCTGTTGTCCAGATCATTGAGGGATTTCTGCACAGCCAAGAGGTGAGTTGTGTGTGCCTCCAGTGTGCTTCCTATATATGTTGAATTTAAGTATAGACAGTGTCTCTGTCGTCCTCTAATGTGGACACTCTGTCTTCCATGTAGCGTAGATCCATGCCCCATGGCTTCCAATTTAGCCTGAAACAAGACTTCTCATTTCCCTAGCATCTTAGCTAGGTCCTGTTTTGAAAGTAGATTTTTAAATGTCCTGATTGGTTTGTGATAGGGATTGTTCAGAGTTCCCCGGGCTGGATGGTGGAGATGCGATGTCTGGTGATTCCGGCGCCATATTGAGGCCTACCATGGACTGGTGCAAGTCTGTGTGGTCTCCAAAATATTTAGTTAGCGCACCGGATTTGCCGTCCAGGGTCTTGCCGGATGCCTGCTGGGACAAGGTCGCTCGTTTGGGGTGACCCATTTTTTCTTCTTTTTATGCCCGATGTCCTCTGAAGCTCGGAGCTCTGTTAGAACGCGGCCATCCAGGTTGGCCATACAGGTTGGCCATACAGGTTGTCCATTCAGGTCCGCCCCCCACCCCCAAAACAGATAATTGCATTCAAATAATTTGTCCATTTCTATAAAAAGAAGAAAAGAAAGAGAACATGGTGCCCAGATGCCAAATAAATATTGTTGCTTAACATAATACATAGTATTGGCCCCAACAACTTAAAGGGACACTATAGTCACCCAAACCACAACCCCAAATGTTGTGGTTCTGGTGTCTTTATACTGTCCATACAGGCTTTTCAATGTAACCAATGTCTCTTCAGGTTTACATTGCTGCCTAGTAACATCTCTAGTGGCAGTCACTCTGCCAGCCACTAGAAGTGCTTCCTTTCTCAGTGCTGCACACAGTGCAGCATCTACGGTCAGCATCTTCACGCTCTGCATGGAGACACTGAACACTCCCCATAGTGATGCGTTGATTCAATGGATCTCTATGAGGAGATGCTGATCAGGGCGCAATAGACTCCCAATGCTTTCCTATGCCAAGACCAGTGTGGCAAAGAAGAAAATGTAGGTTAAATACATTTTCACTGCAATCTAAGAGGAGCCAGAGGCCAAAACAGCCATTCTAGTACTATAGTGTTAGGAATACATGTTTGTATTCCTAACACTATAGTGTTCCTTTAAACTTCTGTTCATTATAAAATGTAGCTGCAATTGTCTAGAGTTTTCAGTTTTTATTGTAGGAGGAATATGTGGAATCACTTAGACAAAGAACACTTTTATTCATCATAGAGACATGCTTTGTTTGGTACATTTACAAACCTCAAAGTGTCTGAAATTGTTATTTTAAACATTCTTGCTCTTCAGTGTCCCTGTCCCACTTAAGAAGTTGCCCTAGTTTCCCAGAGAGAAAAAAATCAACTGCATAAACACTTTGTGAGGACTGGCAGACAGTACGTCTAACATAAATCTCAGGAAGAGCTCTCCTAAACCTGTTCTCAGATGTCCTCTTTGCTGTTTTCTACTTGACCTATTAGTAAATGTCTGCTTATGTGAAGGCCTAGCCAAGGATGGAGACACTTGGCTTACCTTGGCTTACCTGGGAGTCCAAGGACGGAAAGGAGATAGCGTGCTAAAACCATAAAACATTTGCCAGTTACATAATAAGGGGAATTTATTGAAAGGCAAATGGCAAAGAGTTGCAAAATATATACAGACTTATGGAGCAGCTGCAAAACATATTATATGACTTGAGGCTGTGAGTAAATAGTCTAAAGATGTAAGATAAGCTCTGTAAAGAAATAACTGTATTTTGTCATTTTGGCTTCATGCAGCATTTATTCAACTGTAAACTGAATTGGTTGCAACTTTGTAATTGATAAAATGGTTTTAAAAAACTGTATAGTACTAACAGAGCACTGGGGAATCAGAACATTGTAGAATTATCGGCGAGATATTTTTCATGTTCCACAGGAGAGTCCCTTTTTGAAATGCACAGTGATTAAGACTGCAGACAATGCAAATGTTTGGTTATGTATCATTTGTCAACATCTAAATCTAGCTAAAAATATCTTATCAATACCTATTAAAAAAAGCATTGTCGTTTAGACACATCTATCTTGCTCTGATTGGTAGGGTTGTGCACACCTGTAGGCATGGGTCTCTGGATGGGGACACCATTACGTAGGCCTTGCAATGGTTTGGATTTGAAGACCCCTTGAATATCATTATTTCCCCCGACTACTATTAAAAATGACTCCAATACCAATATAAAAAAGGTGGTTGAGAAGGCATGCCTTTGGTGCAAACTATATGTTTGTCCTGACACAATGTTTGGGCTTATACCTGTATATAGTGCAGTAAATAGTTTAAGGATAGTGTGTCCAAAGTCCAGGTGTCTGAGGGGCAACAACAGGAAATCCCAGTCTTCCCAATCAAAAGCTTTTTCTACATAGGCAGAAAGTAGTAAGAGCAGGCTTTGTCCCTTAGTCTCCCGGCCAGGGACAAAGCATAGTTGATTTGGGTGGACTAGGGATGCAACTGCTAGGTTTAGGAAATTGGCCAACGCTTTAGCCAACAACTACCAGCCTATATCTGGCACAGTCTTTAGTGTCCATTTCCCCTTTGGGAAATTCTATTATGTGCTCAGCAATGATGTACAAAGAAAGAAGATTTTAGCTTCAAAGAAATGTGGAATAATATAATTTGGTTAAACTTTTTCTAGTATTCTTAAGGCACACCATTTGAACACCTGGGCTCAGCCAGTCTGATAACATTTAGTAGCTAACCTGAAGTCCTCTAGACTAGTTGTCCCTATTTATGAGTGACAGTACTTATTTCAGGCTCAAATCTCTCTGTCTCTCTTTTCTATGAGCTCCATATTTACTGTAAATGAGTGTGCAACATAGTTCCACAACTAAAATAATTGCAATAATATGTCTTTGAACTACAATAATGATCATTATGTTAGTCTAAACCAATCGTATATCCATTTCATTCTATAACAAATTGCAAACCAGTGCTGAAATTGGGGAGAATGTTCTTCAGCCCTGTCAGTGGCTTGATGGTCAACTTTCTGAGAAATAAAAATAGCTATGACACCATATAGCATTAAAGCAGTAAAGAGGTAAAAAGTGGCAAAGGTAAGGGTACATGCAATGTTTAACATGGTGATATGTATTTAGATATCACTAAATGAACTGCAGATTAAGCATCCCTATAGGCGAGCAGAAAAATACAATAGATAGAGGGGATTAGGGGATTGTTGATGGGCTGAAAAATGATGGTGTCAGACCAGAAACATAAAGTAATAACTTCTCTAGGATCTGCTGGCCGCTGGTCACTGTCTACTCTCTTAGCTCCGCTAAGCTAGGTCCTGCCATGCAGAGCTGGCCCATTGTCTGCGAGTCTTAGCAGAATCCTCGCAGCCAATGAGCTAACCTCTGCACTTGGTTTAGCTAAATGCAGAAGAGGCGACAAGAGCCCAAGGTAGATTGTCAAATTAGTTTAACCACTTACCCTTGAAAGGGGGTTGTAGCGGGCTACAGTGCTAATGGAGCTTTTATGGTAGTAAGACTAGACAGGCTCAGTTTTTCTCATTCTACCTTACTTTTTATTTTCTGGTAATAAAGGTTTAAATACGGTCTGTTTTATTAATGAGGCAGTATACATATCAGTGTATTAGTTAACGTTTAAAATATGTAGAGGAGGATAAGAAAATGTGATTAAATATTTGAAGAGACGAAGGGAGGGTCGAAGCCTGATGACAACAGAATTCCTTTACTATTCCTCTTTATCTAAATATGCAAGCACACTTTGGAGAGAAAGAAACAAATTCTCCTCTGTAATATTTTCAATGAAAATGTAAAAATTCTTCTGTGCCCCTTTTTAAGTTTGATGTATACAAACTATTATAAAAATATTATAATATAATAATATTATAATATTACTATTATAAAAATTTAAAAAATTACATCCATGAAAGAAATAAAAACGATGTTTATTTTTGTCTTCAACATACAGTTTCGGAAGAAGAATTCAGAGAGTAGTTTCAGATGAGGAGAGGAAGTTCAACGAGAACAGTTACCTCAACACTATCTTTTAATATAATGATAGTTGTATCAAATTTTGAAAGAAAACAGATTCTCTGTTAAAAGAAGTATATGTAACAAATGAGAAAAACTCACCCCATTTACATACACCTTGAGTCAGACAGTGTTTGCAATTGACAGTTAGTTGGTCTGATGATGTCCCTGCACTGTGCGTGGAGTGAAGCAAGGAAGACCATAGAGACTATATAGAGGTCTTCAAACACTGTCTGACCCAAGGTGCATGTATATGGCTGCAGGATCCTGTCATATGTTTTATTTAACACAATGAATTTCCTTTCAAAACTTTCAAAATGAAAGGATCATCATATTAAATTATAGTTTTGAGGTGATAGTTGTCTTTTAAGGAAACCCTTCTGCGAAGAATGCATGCTGAGGAAGCAGAAAAGGAACTAATAATTGTACTTGTTTTCAAAGAATTTTTGAGAACTGGGCAGTGTACAATATGCCATTGCTCAGGAATGTAACATGTTGTGTATGGATTTGTTAACTGTAGATCCACTAAGTCACTGGTTTGTCACCTTCTGGCAAATGCTATGTATGGACACTTAGAAGTTTACATGTCCACGCCCACTGGAAATATGCGAACGTAACCGGAAGTGACGACCATCAGAGTTTAGCCGCGATATGGTACTGACACGTGGCCATCTTTGGAATGTCGGATTCACTTCCATAGAGAATAACAGCACGGCGGCCATGTTAAGGGAGATGGAACTACTAGGAAAGGGGCCGGAAACACTCCATATTTGGAAGAGAGGACGGCAACAGATAGTCACCTGTAATATGTTTGTAATTATGTTTATCCATTTTGTAGGATATATGAGAGTGTTTGTTCATATGTTATAAGATATGCACCTGAGGAAAACCTATTGCACTAGGTCGAAACTCATTGTGCCTTTTTTAATCTAATTCATTTTATTTTGTTTAATAAAAAGTACTTACCTTTTATTTATTTGGTTTCCTGGTTCCTGATTTCCATACAGAGGACTTCTGACACCTTCTGAGGGACCTGACCATATACCAACATACTTACATCTCATAGATGTACCTGCTGTCATAGTTTGGAGAAAACTCATAAAGGCTCTAAATATTGTGAGTGTTCCAAGTTACTTATTACATTATTTGTTTTTTTGTTTGTTTTGTTTTTAATAATCTTTATTAGAATTGTTTGTTTTTCTTGCATACATATAACCAGATTTGTACAAATTTACATACAAAACATAACATATATAACAAAACAACAAAAATAAATGCACTTATAACAGCAGCTCCAGACAAAGATGTAAAGTTTAAAGCCTATATAAATCAGCTAACAGTTAGAGTATTTACCAATTTAGAACTGCAGTAGTTGAAAAAATAGGCATTGGTCAGACTAAGGTATCATAATAAGCGCTATTATAATTGTGATTATCTGTCAGTAAATCGCCCTGGTTCAGTTATAACACAAGATTTCAATCCAGTTGGTATATTGGTCTTGTTTATTTAAAAAGTGTATGGAAAGGACCAGGAGGTCTTTTCCCATTCGAAGTTGAAATAGAATTTGGTTAATGAGTTGTCTCCTCTGGAAAGGGAGATACGACTTCCAATCCCTTGCAATTAGAATCTTAACCGCCAAAAAACAATGGGTGACAAGACACTTTGAATAAGTGGAAGATAGTTTCCAATTTATTTAAATGTAATAAGGCTGTATCAGGGCCTTTTTTAATTGTAATTTTGATTGTAATTTTTAATTGTATTTCAAAAGCCCACGCCCATAGACATTTTACTAAGTTGCAATTCCACCATATATGGACCAGGGTTCCGTCTAGACAACCACATCG